GGTCGTGTTTGGGCTGCTCGTTGAGGTGTGGATGTGCGAACTGTGGACATAGCTGCAGGAACCATGGCAGGGTCGGGTTATCCCTATTTGGGGTTGACCTTGAACGGGGTTCTGATGGCGGTGATAAGCCCGTTGAAGCCATGACACAGCGATGCAATTTTGCACTCACACGAAGCTAGCTCCACGCGCTTTGAGCAGCGTGTCAAAAGGTGCTACGAGGAGATATCCCTGGATTGGCAGCTGGTTGCGAAACGCTCAAGTGAGCCACTCAAGAAAATACGCCCTGCTGCTTTGCACCTGATGAATTCTGTATTTGTAATTGTACTTGTAGATTGATTGATCCGCACTGCCGCACTATGGTGCTTTATCGAGGGATGTTGCCAAGCTGTGTTGAGAATTTGTCTGCAAATCGAATGCCTGTAGCTGCAAAGATGCTGTACCGCGCAAAGCGACGGTTTTAACGGCTTGCAAGAAAGGCTATCGGAGTATCCGGTTGGCGGGCAACTGGGATGCAGATCGGTGGAGCTCCTCGAGGTACTGCGATGGATGCAGGCCCCTTGCCGCCGGAATGAAAAGTCGATTCCGGGACTCGATAAACTCCCCAAGGTTCTCAAGTGCGTTGGCAAATCCGCTCGGCCCGAAATGCGGGAAGTTGCGGAACGCCGCGATGCCTGTCTTTTGAGCTTCACGGACAATCGATGCTGTATCGTCAATGAGGGCGTGAACGCCCAGCCCCTGAAGGGCGTCTGCTTTGCCTCCCCTACCCAACCTTTCGTGTACGATTTTTATCGCAGAGAAAGTGAGTCCAGATGTCGCCCGCGCGTGCTCCAGGGCGACCTGGAACTCGCGGCGGCGATACTCGCTTGCAGCTCTGCCCACGAAGGATAGCACTATAAAATTTATAGGTGCGTAGTCGGCTGCAAATTGAACGAGATGCCGGATCACCTCCGGGTTGAGGTGGGGTCCCTGCTGCCCAACGTCAAGAACTCCGTGCCAGTCGAGAGCGATGACAAGCTCCTTGGGCGGCACAGGCCTTCCAGGCGGCGGGGGTGGCGCAGGCGGCGGCCTTCTTGGTGGCGATCGAAAGCGTGTGCCAGCCTCGGAAGTTGCAGCGCTAGCAGCAGCTGCTTTAACGACCTGCGGCGGTGGTGGCTTGACGATGTACCCTTGTGGCGGGTTTGAGCTCGATTTGCTTCTGGGTTCGGCCTTGTTCAAACCTCGCGGAGGCGCCTTGTACCCGAATGCACTCTGAGTCCGAATAGGAGACCTTGCTCGAGGCGGTGATTTCCTTGGAATATCTGCTTTTGCCGGTACCGAAGAAGCTGCACGGGGAAGTTCCTTGGGCAATGGAGGCTTGCTGCCAAAAATGACCTTTGGCGCGGCCTTTGGTGGCGGCGGTTGAATTGCTCCAATCCTCCGGCTATGCAAAGCAATAGGCTCAGTGTGAGTCGGTGCCTCGTATACGCGCCGAGGCACGTAAGCTGCCCTGCCCGTTCTGATGGATTCCGCGTCCTGCGGAGGTTCCTCTTCCGAGCTGTAGGCGTCGAGGCGGTAGTGCTCCGCTGGCGCTGGGCGTCGATCTGGAGATCGTGATCGCGAGCTCGTGGATGATCTTCTTGGGGGATCTCTCCACGTCTCGTCCGCGAGCGAATACGGATCAGCCTGACGGAGTTGTCCGGATGTCCGCTGTGCTCGGCGGTGAGATGTCGCCTCACGTGGCTGTGAAGCCTCCCGAACGAGTACCCAAGTGCCGTGCTCGTCAAATCGTGTCACAGGGTATATGCTGTTCTGTGGAGCCAATACGATGGGCCGTGTGGCAAGGGAAGTCCTGGATGGCCTGCCCTCCCGCGCAAGCGCGGGTTCAACACTGTGTGCCCGTTGTTCCACAGGGGTAGCAGCAGTTGGTCCTCGTCTCGGAGGCGATGATGGAGACCTCGACCTTCGGGGCGATGGGGACCTCGATCTTTGTGTTGACCGTTCCCTGCTGCTCTCCCGCCGCGTTTCCGCAGCTTTAGCGTACACCCCGCGAAGCGCTGTCTTGGCGGCGCCCCGCAACACTTGTCTTTCCTCTGCTGATGGTCGGATGCGAGGCAATGGAGTGCGCGAATCTTGCAGCCAGGATGAAGCTGAAGGAGGCGTCGGAGGGCGTAGCCAGTCCGCTGCACTGCTCGCTGCTTCCGCCGCGCCTGAGGCTGCGGCTTGATCCTGAGATTGCACGCCTTGCGGCAAGACCACACCTGTGGTTTCAACCGATGCGAGACGCTGCTGATAAGCGTTGTCCGCGGCCTGGATCACTTCGAAGGCCTCTTGGTCAAAATCCCACAGGTGCCAACTATCCAATGACTCACGCCAGGAAAAGAGCGCCTCGACCTGTTGCTTCGAGGCGTCCGCAAACCTGATCCACCGGAATCGTCTGTTCTGCCGTTTGTACTCGTCGACGACGATCTGCTGCAGAGTGTTGAATAGACGGGCACGCGGCCCTTTCCCACCGCGAGTGCCGCGGTGAGGGCCGGCTTCCATGTGCGACCAATCGGTCGCAGTCACGGAGGGGTTTCCCAACGAATCCGTCAAGACAATTAGAGAGTCCCACGGTAAAAATTAACTTTCACGGCAATTCCCATTTCGCGGCAATTAGTGACTTCTTAATTGACTTGCAAAATTAACTTTTCACGGCAACGGCAACGGCAAAAAAACGCGGCAACAAAAACGGCAACGGCAACGGCAACGGCAATGGCTATTTTGGAAGTAGTTACTGCGAAACTACTGCACTGGAGCTAATTCCGCAGTAGTTTGGAGCTAACTACTGCGAAACTACTGCGCTGAGATAATTTCGCAGTAGTTTGGAAGGAATTATTGCGAAACTACTGCACCTTGGCAAACAGCCACGGCAACAGCCACGGCAATTTCCCCGGTAAAAAATTAACTTTTCGCGGCAACGGCAACGGCAACGGCAACGGTAAAAGAACTGCCCACGGTAAAAAATAACTTTCACGGTAAAAAATGTCTTGCCCCCGCTAATTGTCTTGACGGATTCACAGGGTTGTTTACCCGAAAAGCGTTACGGCTGATAACCACTCAAAGGAGAGGGAAACACAGTTTTGTCAACAACGGGGGAACCCGGGACCTTAAAAGGAACAAACCCCTCCGTGACTGCGACCTCTCCCTTAACCTTGTGGGAAGCGCGAGCAACGCGCTCTTTTCAGCACTTGAGCCAAAGCAATGATTGGGTCATGCTCAGGCATTGACTTGAATGTACAACATGCAACTGACTACATGAGAACCTACCTCATGTACCTCTGGGCCATAAATGTCATCGTGATAATTGACTTGATTCACCTCAAATGTAAAGTCGTGGAGGAGAGGTGGGGCCCAGGCTCCCCAGATCGATTCTAGTCACGAATTGGAACATGTGAGCCCCTCCCCCAGTTCCAAGTTCCATCCTTCTCTCGTCGCGTTTTTTGCAGGGGATGGGGTATGTCTGTTCTCTTTTTTGAGGGGGCTTGACCATTCTGTGGTGGGACAGCCACACAAAAATCGGCCGGAAAAGGGCGCCGCGGAACTCGGCTCAGGAAAAAGCGCCCACCTGGGAATATGGGGCGGCTCGTCTTATGTTTGAGGGCGCCTCTGTTTTGGTGGTTTTAAAGGAGTACGAAAACAAAACCACCATTGGTTTCTTTCTTTTTTTTTGGGGGCGGGGGGGGGGGGCGGGGGGGGGGGTCTAAGGAAAGACACACCCATGTTTACGTCCTGCGCTGACCATGAAGCGATCCAGGAAGGTCACTGACTGTTCTCTTGCGCTTCACCGTTGATCTGTGTCATATCTGTCTTGCGACCATGACAGTTGCGTCTCAGGACCGGCAGGTGAAGGATCGCGCTTCCAAGATGGTGCTGGCACACGAGTCCACGCACCTGCTGCCTTGAACTGGGCTTCCCTCCTGAAGAGCTGACAGGTTCGTTGCCCCGATTTCACTTGCGAGGACCTGGCAAACAAAACGTTTACCGGTTGAATTGACACTGGGCAACAAAAACAACGCTGGAATACCAGCAACTGCGCTAGCTTCCTACCCTCACTGCCGCAAGAAGTCCAAAGCTTGTCTTGGCCTTTCGAGTCTAAGCCGTCCAGGAAGTCAGGAGGCGAGCGGGGAGTTTTATTCCCGTCATGTGAGTAAGCGAGGGGAAAATCAAAAACCAAAACGGGGAATTGGGCCATCGACTTTCACACTTGTGCAGAACCTGGCGAACCTGGACGAGCAAACCAAACGTCCAAAAGGTCGAGTTGCAAAAAGGCTCGGTTACAGGACTTGGGACCAGTCATGATTAATAATCCCCCCTCTGATAAAAGACACACGATTTTCGCAGCCAACTGCCCTCTCATTGAAGACTTCTCTGTCTGGCCCAAACAACTACAAAACATACCAAACAAGAACAATGCTATTGCCAATGCTGACTCCTTCAGAGCCTCAAACATTGCCATTCCAGAAATACCTAAAAACGGCTAGCCGGAAACGGTCCCCCCCCAAGGCTGGCCACCCCCGAATACAACCAAACCCGCTGATCAATCCTGGCCCTCTCCGGCCTTGCAAATGAAAAATGCGATTTCCTCCAGGAACATGGCTGGCAGATAACCCCAAAACAGCCATTGGGAGGTCATTTCACAGATTTGCCAGCCATTGGGGGGTCCTGGCTTTTACTTTCTTCTTGCAGTCCTATTGGCCAGACAGGGGCCCGGGGCCCACACAGGAAACGTCCGAAAAGGAAGTCCCTCGAAAGATCTGGTTGTCCAAAAACTTGTCGACCTTCAGAAGGGTCTATTAATCCCCATTTGGCTGTGGGTCAATTCGTGTTCTCCTGCTGAACATCAAGATAGGTGGTACATGAGTGTTCATTCTCCCCAAAATGGAGGAGGCATAGGTTATGACCCATGGCCATTTGTCCGGGTCCCATTGAACTTTTTGGGGCCTTTGAAGGGGGGGGGTTGACTCAACCTTGGGGACCCACGCCATCTCCTGCGCACGCCCCAAGAAATGCTGGTGACGTCCTCACCCGCATTTCCGGCGACCCGGAAGGCATGGGGTCTAAGGAGGGAAAGCTCTTGCCGAAATCTCCAGTCCCATCTAAACAATCCCGCTTTGTGGCTGGGGTCAACTTTTCTGACTTCTTCAGGGGCTAAACTGGGGGTGTTCCCTTTCACCCACTTACGGGGTGACTTTGAGAGTAAAATCATGGGGCTGGCTGTGGATGGCCCTGTTTGGCTGAAGCTGAGCCAAACTGCGATTTTGACACCTGTGACTTCCGCCCACAACCAAAGCAGCTTCAATAGCAGGGTTGCGCCTACCCTTGTTCAAACATGTTTCAACCAGTGTTGTTCAAACAGCCTCATTTTGGCTTCCTGTCACGAAGAACAACCCGCCCTACCAAAATCAGGGGATTTCCTGTAATGTCCCCTTAAATTCCAAAACCGTTCCCCTTAATGGTGGACATTGAGAGTCTATGTTGCAACCCACCTCTAGGGTATTGTGTTGCCAATCCGTCGGCCTGCAGAATTGGCTGCGACTTTACCGGGTTCCATTGAGCCACAGGTTCAACACAGGTCGGGCAGTAAGTTGGACAATGAACAAGTTGAGTGCCAAAAAGTGAGTAAAGTCCGAAACAGAGTCAGGAAGTTTCAGAGGCCAACCACTTCCACGCACATTGCAGTGGGTCCCTCTTCCGCCGTTGAGAAAGGGATTGAAAAAAACGTCCAACTGTGATCAAAATGCCTGGGAGAACCTTGAACTCGCGCATTCACTTCCTGAGTGGACTGGCCCAAAAAAACGAACCCAGCTGTTTGTAACATGGTTCAAAACCAAAAAGCTCAAAGTCCGCGAACTCAGGGAGTGAGGTGCATTCAGCCGTCGTCTTCTGGATCTGACCCCCCATCCCTGCTCCTGGCAGCACCCGCTTCACGTCGCCCATGCCCATCCACTGGGCAAAGGGCGTGGTCAACAGCGCTGGCCAAGCCCCGTAAATAACAAACAACTCACAAGAACACTTTACAAGAAGCGTTGAGCCATTTGGGCTCTCAAAACGGCGGACCCCCACCCCCACCCCCCCCCCCAGAAAAGGTCGGCAAAGTTCGGGGTTCTTTGACTGGGTCCTCCAGTAGAGAGCTTAGAACAAGGGTCCCCGGTTTTTCTGTAGTCTACTATGGTAGCAGAACCCTCCACTAAAAGAGAAGTAGTAAAAGGGCACTACAGGGGGACCTAGAATAATACACAAATACATGTATTAAACTTTCAACATTCTCCAGTATTGGTTGTTGCTGACCTGGTAGCTTCACACTTTTTGCGTGTCTCAAGGTGGTTTCCTTTTGGTTTCCCTGAGCCACCGACAAGGCTGCCCTCGCATGTTATGTTGGCTCACTCCAAAGACCCGATGCCTATTTTCTACCTGTATGCTTCGGTCAACGCGAGGTTCAGAGCATGGGTTTCGAGGAAGCAAGTGAAACCTGCTACGTTGTTGGTAGAAAACAGGGAACCCTTTGTCCGGGTTTCCTTGATCCAAACCACCACATGATTCCCCACCTTCCTCATTGAAGTTCACTCCTAGGCGTCCAGTGGAGTCATACCGTTGCTGTAGGTGGATAAATCCACAAAATGCACCAGTTAAGATTGATGACACCCCTATGAATGCTGGTTGTCCCATCACCTACCAACCGGTGCGAAGAGACTAAAAAGTCGGAGCCATTGCAGCTTGATATGCAGGGGCACCAACTGCCAGGGCTGCAACCTGTCTCTGGCTCCCAGGCCAAATAATTTCGGTTTGCTTGAGGTGCCAAGCCAAATGGCCGGTGAGCATTGCCTCTTCAAAACCGACATAAGAAATGATCCCTTGAGTGGGCCTTTGGGATCACTGTGCAGTCTCGTCTCTCGACCACTTCGCAATGGCTGAAACAACTTCCTGGTAGCGCTTAAGAAAAGGCTGGTTGCTTGAACAACTTTGATGAACAAATCATAATCCACTACTAGCATCGAGAAATGGGCCTCTCTCCTTTTTTGAGGCAACCCTTTTTGGGTTGTCTCAAAGGGAAACCCCAAATCCCTCTAAACTGGAAGCTTCATGACGGGGCCCGCAACCTGTTTCAAAACAACCTTCAAGTAGAAACCCGGTGCTCATCTTCAGACTCAGTCGCAACCTCTGGCAATTCCCCTCGTCATCTTCGTCGGACCCCACACATGTCGAGGTCCATGACCAAGCTGATTCTGTGGGCGAATGCTCCATGTCCATGGCTGTGACACCGTGCACGCAAACGTGAACAGCTAGATCCAAAATTGGAAGATCACCTTTTAGGTGATTATCGTTGTATATGGTGGTTGATCTAAATTTTGGTTGATCCAATTTGCATTGGGGTTCGGGTTCGGCTTCGGGTTTGGGGGGGGGGGGTTCGGGTTCGGGTTATATTCTTACCCACCAGGTGCCTTCATGGCTTCCGCGGCGTTTCCCACCTCCAGCTCATCCGGCACCTGGATCCATTGCCAAGGCTGGCCCGCCCTTGCCCGCTTCAAAGACGTCAGGAACCATCCCTCTTCAACGCTCGCCCCCACCAACAAAAAATAACATGAACTGGGGCTTTTGTATTGCATGGCATCCCTTTGTATCATCCATTTCTGGATGACTCGTAGTGAACTCTCAGAAACCACAATGCCAACACATCCAAATGGCTCAGCAGGGTGTTTCGCCCCTGAAACATGCAGACGCACGCACTATCTGGCAGGTGTTCAAAGGAACAAAAGGAACCCGTATTACCAATATCAATCATAGCAACTAAAACAAGAAACTTCATATTCAGTCTTCATAAGTACATTTATCTATATATATATAGCCATATACGTGTCAACTGATATTGAGAATGATCCGCCCGCAAATGGTGGGTTTTGCGGCGGTCCCAAAACTTCAGCCAACAAATGAACGAGCAAACCGCCTCTTCAAATCTACCCGCGTTTGGCCCCAACCAAAAGCTATCCAAGCAAAAGCGATCGCAGAAGAGGGGGGAACCCATCTGGCTGTGGATTCCCTTTCCATTTTTTTTACCCCCAATAACAGAGTGCGGTCCAAAAACCAAGCTACCGGGGTTCGTACCTACAGGGATGTCATCATGGGAAATCTTGGATGATTTAGACAGAACTTGTGCAGCTTCTCAAAACGAAGCCATGGTAGCGCAAAGAAAAACATATTTGCCCGTGTCCATATTCGATGCATCCCACCACACCTCAGGCTTTGTTCTGGGATATACAACCACTATATAGCCGCTATATAAAGAGCAATGAGTATATTAGTATAACCCCCCACCCCCCGGTTTCCAATGGATCCCTCGCTTTCGGATCCGCCAACGACTCCGCCGACTCCGCCGACGCCGCTCGCCTTCCGGGCGGTGAGGGAGGAGATGGTGGCGCTGTAGTGCCGCGCCATGGGCGCCACCGAAAGGCCCGGGTACTTGAGCACATCCTCCTGCCTCAACTTGCCATCGGTTCCATCGGCAGGGAATGGGGGGGAATGAACCGGTTCTGGGCTTCCCCAATGAAAGGAAACCACCAGTTGGATGGTTTAGCGTCATTCCATTTCTCATTCCCTGCTTCTCGCACCAGCAAGTCAAAGATACTCTCAGGAGGGGAAATGTGTGGGGGTCTATTGGAGTCGAAACCCGCCAAAAAAGATTCGACGCATGTCCCACGAAATGAGAAAAGTTACCCACGGTCATTTGGTGGGCCCTAAATGGAATATTGATCAACCCCCACATTGTCAGGGAACCCTATGGGGAGTCTATAGCAGTCAACGAAGGTGTCCATGACCAGAACCCCCCCCCATATGTCAAGAAGGCCTTGAGGCTGGCTGAAAAGTAAAAAAAAAAAAAAACTATCTAAGGGTATGGCGGGAGTGGGCGGGTCAGAACTATTCTAGCCGTACGGTGGGTGGTAAGGGAACAAGGAAATCAATTCTGAGATTTGATCTAAAGATTGCTTGAGAATGGTTGCTTGCCAATATTTCGCGCATCCACCGTGATCGAACCTAACTGCCTTGGTCCCCTTCCGCTGCCATCTTGGCCCACTGGTGCACTCCAATCATATTATTCTCTGATGCTGCCTCAGAACAAATCGACCCTCAAACAAAAAGTGGTTTTGGTTTGGCGACCCCAGCGAGGCTCACCATCCCGGGGCCCAAGGAGAAGGTCTTGCCATGGCATGTAAAGCTCGGTTTGATAGGCTGGGTGCTTGTCGGGAACCCCGACAAACACCCATTACTGGTGTCCTCTAGTGGATCTCTTTCCGGTTCATTCGCAAATCCCCGGATGATTCCGGGCATGCGTCAAACTGGGGGAACCCTTGAAACCAACTTCAAAAAAGGGTGCCAACTCAACCTCACTTCCTGAGTGGATTGGCTAAAAATAGTCCCACCGTTTGACGTACCACTGAAATTGCCCCAACCCAAAAGTGACTAAAATCCAGGAACCCTGTCCAAACAGGAAATTCCTCTAAGAAATGATGGCCGTTTGGGTTCAATGTCAACTTTTCAAACACCCCCGAACTTCACAAACAGCTGTTCAATGTACCAGTACCACTAAACTTGTCCCAACCCAAAAAGTGACTGCGAGCAACAGGTGTCCTTTTGAAAAAATAGATGGCCCTGGTAAACGGAATAAAACCCATCTAAACCAGTGCCTTCTATTTTTGACCACACTAACTTTAAAAGGACACCTGAGTCACAATCAAAACCTGGTACAAACATGGTGAACCCAGAACCATGTAAAGATTTAGAAAGGCAGATATCCGCAACTATTTTTGGCTTGGACTGCCCCTTACTAACCTTCATCTACCCGAATCGGTTTTGAGGACGTGGCTCACCTATGGACGCAGACGTGACCCCCCGACCCTCAAAAACTTCGACTTCACGCCCGACGCGAGAAGCCGACGCGGAGAGAGCGCCGGTCCTGGGAGCTTTTGTCTGTGCTCTACTTCTTCCACTGAAAGCTCTGGGGTCGATTTTTTGGCCCAACTCGGCCCAAAGAAAAAGCAGACACCCGCTGCTCCGCTCGACCTCACGATTCGACGCGGGGAGAGCGCCGGGCCTGGGCAGCAGCAGGAACTTCTGCGCCTCCGCCCTGAGCCCCGCCTGGGGCGCGCAGGCCACGCACTCCCGGGCGTACTCGAAGGCGCTGAAGACCTGGCGAGAGGAAGGAACCCAAAATCCCCGCGCCGAAAGGGGAAAACTGAAAACCGAGAAGGGAAAACTGAAAAGAAGTTGAGATCCTATGGTCCTATGCCTGGTTTCAAGAGGGAACTAAGTGAAAACTGACTGGAAAAACGAGTTGAGATTCTATGGTTTCCATTGGCAAACACCTGGTTAGGGAACTCCAACGCAAAAGGCCACCCACTCCAAAAGGAACCCACCCTGTAAAGACTATATGCTTGCAACAGTCGCTGGCCCCTGCGAACTGCCCACTGGCCGCAAAAAAGAATGAAGGACAAAAGGGGCGTGTACTTCGGCCTCCCCTCGGGAAAAACACTGAGCCATCCACTTCCAAGTTGGATCCCATTCCTTGAAATGGATGCAGGTGGCACAAGGCGAGAATTTTGCCACGCCCCCGCCTCCAAGTAACCAGGAATAGGTCCTCCAGTGGAGAGGTTAGAATAAGTTGGTACCAACTTTTTTCTGTAGTCTATTTTAGTAGGGGAAACCTCCCCCAAAAAAGGGTGAGAAAGGGCACTACTGGGGGACCTTGGGAACCAACAAAGGTTTGTCTTTCGAGGAATCTGCATAGCCCTTGATGGCCTGTAGCCCCGTAGTCAATGAGGGCCATCGCTACTCGACAAAAGTAAGGGCTAATCAAACCCAAATTGGGTAGGTGTCATCAACTCGGTTCAGTTGCCAGCGGCGATCAATCATTTCCATGCTGATTCCAGGTGCCTGTGGCACATGGCAGTGGGAAACATCGGCCGGGTTGCCCTGGAAAAACTCTCAGCGCCATAGGCCAGGCACATCATCTCTGTGGCTAAGAGGTTGAGAAGCGGAAGACGAACAGCTGACTCAAAAAAGGCTGCAAACTCAACCGCTGCTCCGTGACTATGTGACTATATGTCTGTGGGTCAAAACCCCAGTGAACATCCCAATCCCCACTCAAATAGACTAAAATGAGTGATGCACCTACCCCAAAATGGTACCATTGGTTTTGACCCACAGCCATACGAGTTTGAAAGAGTGTATGTACCCCTCTCATGAGCGGGGACATGAGCTCGAACATCTGGAGTGAACACACGCCTTTTGCGAAGTGCGCAGGCACCTTTCTATGTCTGTGCCACGTTGCAGCCTTGCCCTAGGTCAAAAAGAGATCGGCCAGACTGCCTGGGGCCATTGAAGACAAAGGGGTATCCTTTTGTCCCAAGGCACGCCACCGCTCAGACGTGCAGGTGTAAAAGGGGTATCGTTTTGGGTAGCTGATCTTGGCATGAGATAATTCAAATTTGGGACACGTTGGGGCATCATTGGTTCTCAGCATGGAATGAGAATTATAATGACCCCTATAAACCATCCCCGATTTGGCTTCCTTTGAGGGAATCCCCAGGTTAATGCCAACGCTCAGACTCAGTCATGCCCTACCTATCGCACCAGCAAGCTATGTGAGTAACCTCACCATTTACTTCACCCATGATTAAAGTCACCCCCTAAGCGCGTGAAAAACAGAAACTACCAACCAGTTTCTCACTTTGACCCCCAGAAACAGACTCATCAAGGTATTGATCGCCATGTCAATGGGGCCCGGAAACAGACTCAGTAATATTTGAATCGCCGTTTCAAAGTAACGACCCCCCGGTTCGAACCGGTAAAAAAACCCACCACTCGCAGCCACTGCCGCGCGCTCAGGGTGTAACCCAACTCACGCGAGCCTGTCGGCCAGTGGCCAGCGATCGATAGAAGGCCTGGCGCAGTGTGGAAACACCTTGTATGTATAGTACCTGGAAGTCTCTCTCTCTCTCTCTTACATCATATGTATGTATATATGTATATATGATTGTGTATAATATATATATGTATATATGTATTATACAAAATCATATAATACAAAATCATATAATGCAACACAGTACAATACAATATATAATACAATATGATTGAATATAATCTAATATGATGGGCCTACCTTTCTACTTGGAAAGCGGCATATCTACTCTCAGTGAGAAACACGATCATTTGGCATCCCCAAGCGATAGGTGCAGTTAGCACACATTTGGAGATGTCGGCGCAACACTCCCCAGCAAACCCCTGGGAAAGTGAACGCTATAGCTTTTGTTGGAGACTCGGGGTTTCGCTGAGGGGATATGATTTTGTGGCGCATGGTGCGAATGTGGGTTCAAGTACAAACGGCAACAGAATGTGTGAATTCGGGATTAATCATGATTAATCCATGAGCTACAGGGGGAAAGCGGTACTAATCCGTCTTGCTCCCAGTTTGAAGCTTCAGTCCACCAAAAGCAAGCCTACTTGCCTAGAAGCGACGCAAGGCAATAGAGAGCCCCTTTGTTTTTTGCTGTTTGTATTTAATACAATCTGTTGTCTCGTTGGTTTCCCTTACCCCCCCCCGCCCCCAAAAAAAGATAAACGACCACATGTTTTTGGAGATTCACACACCCGCAAAAGCGCCGCGCTTCCCTCCAAATCCTGTGGGGGCCTAAAACGGATTACAAGGGTTTAGAAAGAGGCCGTGTAAAGAACTCCAAGCCGAACCAGTCGTTGAACCCCTTCCGCGAGTGGCATTCGCTTTTCTGGTAGCCGGTGCTAAAGACTTCGCACGCCCAGTCCCCAAAATCGGAAACGGCACTGCCGGAGGTCTGGTAAAGTGATCAAAAGGAATATGTACAAATACATTATACACGGGGTGCGAGTTTCAAGGGGGTACGCTTTGGTGGGCAATAGAATTCAGCAAGGATTCAGGTAACCACCAACCACTTTTGACGGGTGTTCATTTTAACACCCATGGCCGAATATGCACATGTGTACATTCGCTTGGGCGATGTGGGCGGATTCACAAGGCAACCCAAATGGGGATGTGCCAAAGCAATCCAAAGCAGGGTCTCATATCCTTGCCCTGTGCCAATTAGTCAGAAAGCATTCCAATTTCAAGTTCTTTCCCTGAATGCTCATATCTTTGAATCACATCCGAACAACGGAACCCCTATATTCGTTCATGTTCTAACCAACAGTTCAAGCTTAGAATCGTTGAACCCCATCCCAAACACGGCCCCCCTATTTTCAGCATGCCCCCCCCTCCCCCGACCCCGAACCCCCCTCCCCAAGCTTGCGGTTCCGAGTTTTCTGAGTTCCCCCTTTCGGCGGAGTCTCCGCACCGAACCGATGCCAAAAATTCCCGCCTTGGTGAAGGTCTTGCAGGCGCCGTCGAAGACGCGGCCGCGGCAGCACACCACGTGGGCCACCCCGGCCTCCATGAAGGCGCCTCGGCGCGGTGGAAGCGGCCGCTTCGGCTCGCTTGGGTTCGCTTGGGTGGGGGGAATAACGTTGGGACTCCCGAAATGGACAGCTAAAAGTGAAAACCGAAATGGACCGGGAGGGAAGTCAACGGAAAAAAGTCCCCAGAAAAAGGGGCAGTCTGAGAATGGTACTTTGACCCGGGGGCACTCTGGGTGGTTTTTGGTCATGGGAAATGCCAGGGAATCTGCAAATGGTACTTCCGTACTCCAGAACCTGAAATAAGAAATGGATCTCCAAGAGTGAAGGACCTGCATCATGCACTCGTACCCCAAAAGTCGGCAAATGAAATGCCCAAGCTTACAAGTTCCACTCACTTCCTGAGTGGATTGGCCAAAAAGAGTCCGAACTTTCCATTTACCACTAAAATGGCCTTCGCAAAGGGCTTGAAGTCCAGGAACTCAGGAAGTGAGTTTATCAGCAACCAGTAGTAGACGGCTTCAATGATCAGAGCAAAAAGCTTTACGCCTGCTGCTTCGGACAAGGGTTCTCCAAATTGGGAGACTTCTCCTGAGCTTTCCCACGGTGGATTTGCTGGCCTCCAAATAAGGAGGGGGCCGTCCAGGTGGGCATCACATCATCTAGGTGGACACTTATGTCCAGCAATGGTGTTTCTCCATGCAGCTGGTTGTGGCTCAAAAAACCGGTACCAAAATGAAACCCTGGCAAGTGGAAACATGGACCAAAACCTGCGTAACCCCTCCTGGTTAATTTTGAGCGACACCCAGCACAGCACAAACATAGCCAGGTTAATTCCACCAAAAGGCAACTTATGCAGCCTTTAAGGCTCAAACTTCTTGGCCCACGACTATGATGCAGAGCTTAGGCAACCAAAAGTTTAGAGCTTGCAAATTCAACTGGGGGGCAAACTAAGATATAACCAACCTGTTCAGTAATATGGTGTAAATTTCTGAACCAAGACGAAACATCTGTTCAACAGAGATCCCAGAAAAGGGCATACCCCCGCTCAAAGGAAACGTCACCCAAACAAAACCAGCCTTTAGTCGCCTCTTTCGAATCCAATCAACAAGTTCCAATTTCGGGTACTTCCAACCCCAGCCCCCCCCCCCCCCCCGCAACCTTGGGCTCTCGCATCCCAAACACCACACCCACCACACCCACCACACCCACCGCACCCACCACACCCACCGCACCCACCACACGAACCTGAACCCAAGTTGCCTGCTACGCCCTCGGAGTCGCAGCAGTTCAGGAACACGCAGCTGATGGGGATCCGCGTGCCTACCCAAACTTTGAAGCTGGTTGCTGCCAACCCCCGTGCAAAAAGTGAATAGCTTTTTGGGGTTTTAGTGGAAAACCCAACTTGATTTCAACCAAAAAGTTGAAGTCTAAAGATCCGTTGCCCAATAGCAGTCAAGCTGACTGCTTCATTCTCGGCCCAAGGGCACGCACCGGAAAGCTGCTCCATACTTGGCCTCCCCTCCCAACATAAATCAATTTGCTTAAGCTGCCAGGAAAAAAAACATGAACATCTGTCCGGTGGTGATAGATTGATTCCCTTTTGAAGTATCGACAAGGGAAACTAACATGTATTCTTAAGCAAATGGTGGAACTCAAACATAGAACCCGCCAGGGGTTGCTCGAAGACCACTTTCCTAAGTGACCTCTGTGCTTTTTGGGGAGGACCCCAGTCATGAGTGGGACCATTTTCCTCCTCAACACCAGGCAGCAATCCCATTCGACGCTGAAACGAAGGAAGCCAAACCACATGTGTACGGACCAACCCTCTACATGGTTCGGGCAAATAACTACGTGCCCCTGGCTGGTCAGGCAATGCCATAAAAAATCTATGTAAGGGGTGTATATATATATATATATAATATAGATTATTACTTTTTGGGTTTTTAGTTACTTCCCTATTTCCCTTGACTCGACTATACTGTTTCTCGCCCCCTGACTGAATAATGAAGACAGCTGCCAACAACAAAGTCAACAAAGTGCGAACCTCGCCAACTCAGCGGTCAATATTCATCCCCCACCACCCCCCTCCCTCCTCCCCCCCGGCCCCCCCAGCCCGCCCAATGAGGGCAAACTACCATAATTCAACAACCAAGCCACGAACTTGATCAAACAAGCACATGTCTAAACTGCAATGACCAATATAGAAAGAGTACACGAGTCATGAGCATTTCTGTTCAAACCTGTAGGGAACAACTGAGTGGATTGGTCAGACCAAGTCCAGACTCGTTGCTTGCCATTAGAGTCGACCAACTCGGAAATTGAGGACTCAACTAGACGCCAAGAACAGCAAGTAAGGAACCTCCTCAAAACAAGTTGGACACGGGAGAATCACGCTGTGAAAGTCACCTCCCTTTCCTAAAACAAGGAACCCTTCCCCCTCTTCTTCAGCTTGTTTTCCGCCAACCGATACGTCGATTCGGTAGTGAAGCTTAACACGAAACATAATTTCAAACCTGGGCGGCCCTCAGATCCCCCATTACAAGTTGAAGTTTTAGTGGGTTGAATGGAAACTACCACTAAACACTAAAAGGCAGGCTAAAAAGCTAAGGAACCGGATGGCTGGGAGCCACCAAGCCCGATCATGGCCCCCCATGGGGAGGGAGCGTGAATCTGAATGCTTCCCAACAATTGGAACACCCCTCTCTTACCTCAGCGTTTGCCCCAAACCCCAAAGTTACATGTAATCAGGCAACTCCCTCTACCTCGGCCTTTTGCATATAGGCAGATACTGCAGGTCTAAAGTTAGGCAACCCCCTGACACAACCTCCCGCTTGGTGGACTTGAGGTCCGAGCGAGTTGGGCAGCCCTGTTCCCAACATTAGGCAAACTCCTTTTGGCCCAACCGCGTACACCAAAAACCAATCAACATCTTCAGACTCCTCATACCTAGTCAAGATGTTCGCCTTCTTTTCTGAGGACCTCCCTGCCTGCCCCCCCCCTACCTTCCCGAAACGCGGCCACACCCGGCTGACCGCTTCAGCCGTTCGGCCTGGGCGTGTCTGGCGCAGCCACTGCAGCAGGCGCCAGCGGGGCAGCGGCTGCGGGCCCCCGGCCTCGTCCTCTAAGAGGAGGAAGGGCCTCGGCTTCCGCGCGCTCCGCGGCCGCGGGGGCTGCGAGTTTGGTTCACTCGGGGTCTCTGTGGACCCCGGGGGAGTTTTTGCCTTTTCATGTTTCTTTCTCTTTTCTGTTTTATGACTGGAAAGTAGCGGGGTGATTTTAAAGGGAACCCCTCTAAAAATAAAGGACCCCCTCCCCTAGGCAAACAAAAGACGACATTCTGAGACCAGAAACTGTGATGATCATGCCCCTCCAAACTGGGTGTCTTGTTCACGCCCCCCCCCAAACAAAAAGAAGTCGTCCTTTTGGTTTTCCTTTAAAACCACACAAAAAACTGGTATACCGGTATACCCCAAGGAAGAGACAGACGCATTTCGGAGAACCCCAAGAAGCTAGCTCACCGCCAGCCGCACTGGGGCTCCAGGCTCCATACTTTGGCCCCCGCTGGCGTAACCCGCGTGCATGGCGCCTCGAATTTCGAATCGCGGCACATGGTGGTCGTGTGTGAGCCCAACCTCTCAGACAAAAAGAAGCTTCCCATGCTCCATCCAGCACCCGGGTCCATACTGTGGATGGACGAAATCCATTTCGCACCACTTTGAAGCCATGGGAAGCCATTGTTTGGTGGTATTTGCACGACAATCATTATTCCGGGGTTGCTTAGGTGGTGCAGGATTGCATCTATCCACAGTAGCAACCTCTGCTTTGTGGTTGCAGTACCAAGGCGATTTTGGACATGGGCAAAAGAAGTTGTAGGGGGGGGTGCTCCATAGGTGTCGCCACCGTACGATCCTGATTATTCTTACGGGACCGGGGGGGGACCAGTAGAAACCCAGGATCCAAATTTGTTCTGCAGTTCTCATTTTAGGGGCAAAGATGCCCAAATGTCACCAAATCTTGCCCCGGAAAAGCCGAAAAGTTGGTGGGCAAAATGCGGAGATGTTTCCCCAACAAGGTAGAGGCTGAAAGGTGAAATTCGGGTCGAACCAAAATTGCATTCAAAGTGGACCACGCACGCGAAGAGGCTCCTCGCTCTACAAGTGGACTGGTCCTAGCAAAACTAGCTTGTAACCACCAAACTCATCTCCGTTTCAAAAGCGTGGGCCGTGTTCTACCGAACATGGTCCCCAGAAGTGTGAGGCTCAGGAGGTAGTGAGAGGCGCCGGCTTTCCAAGCACACCAACGGCGAACAAGCGGTGAGTTGACACAAGGGCAAAAGAGGTTTTCTTGTTGCATCCTCATGACTCATATGAAACCTATGGAACATCTGGAAATGAAATCCACTTGAGCATCCCCCAACCAGTTACAACCCCTCTAGGGGTAAGTTCCCCATTTTCTCCAGGGCCAAGAAAGCAGCTGAAAGTGCGGATATTGAAAATAATGATTGACAATGCACATGAAATCGCCTAAGGCACAATGAAGGGGGTGGTGGACGGGGTAGAACCTTGTAGATAATACGAACAACAAACAAATCAGACCCCATTCTGGGCAAACAACAACCTCAAAAAGAACTCACCAACTAAACATCAGGGGATGCTTCAAAGGACTTTCATAGAGCCCGAGCTCGATGGCTTTGTCGGCCCATGCGTTACTTCGCGTCACTTAGGTACCTGGCGGTGTCACTCAACTTTGGGCCCAATGATAGTCATTTCAAAGTTAAACCACCAAAGAAGAAGGGAAGTTTAAGAACGGGG